TTGGGTCTTTTTTGAGGTGGGAAAGCTTTCTTCCTTACAATCACTTTCTATTTCTACTCTGAAAAGAAAATTAAAATAAATTGCTAAAAAACAAAGGACCTATTTTTAAAATCACCTTTTTTATTAATTTATTTTTTATTCTTACAATGTTTGCTTTCTTTTCTCAGGTGTAGTCCTCATAGAATTCCCACCACCAGCATCCATGTACCATCACCATAGTCCCTTGGGCTCTTCCCTCCCTTGTTTTGATCCCTTTCCTTCTCCTTCCTGCAGAATGTCTCTGATTTATAGTTGTCTGTCTGATTTTGTTTTGCTGTGGGTTTTTTTTTTGTTGTTATTATTACCATTTTTCCCCCTAGATCCTCTATATTCCTCCTATAAGTGAAACCATCTAGTATTTTTCTTATTCCTTCTGATTTATTTCACTTAGCATTATTCCTTCTAGTTCCATCCACATTGCTGTGAATGACATCAGTTTAGCTTTTTTGATTGCTGTAAAATAGTCCATTGTGTATATATACCACATCTTCTTGATCCAGTCATCTATTTGGAGGCATTTGGGTGGTTTCCACATCTTATCTATTGTAAATAGTGCCAAAATAAACAAAGGGGGGCAGGTGTCCTTTTCAATTAATGCTTTTGTATCCTTTGGGTAGATTCCTAGGAGTGGAATTGCTGGGTCAGATGATATCTCCATTTTCAGTAGTTTGAGGAAACTCCACGCAGTTTTCCATAATGGTTGCACCAGTTTGCATTCCCACCAGTAGTGAAGGAGAGTTCCTTTTCTACACATCCTTGCCAACATTTGTTGTTGCCAGGTTTTTTTAATATGTGCCTTTCTTACTGGTGTAAGGTGGTACCTCATTGTGGTTGTGATTTGCATTTCCCTGATTTAAGTGATGTTGAACATTTTTTCATACACCTGTTGGCATTTGATTGTCCTTTTTAGAGAAGTCTTTTTAGCTCTTCTGCCCATTTTTTGAGTAAGTGTTTATTTTTGTTGAGACATGTGAGCTCCTTGTATATCTTTGTGATCATTCCCTTACCAGTTGCATTGTGTCCGAAAATTTTCTCCCCATCAGTGGGGTGTCTCTTTGTTTTGGTTAATGTCTCTTTTGCTGTACAAAACCTTCTTAGTTTGATGTAATCCCAACTGTTTATCTTTTCCTTCACTTTCCTTGCTTTGAGGGATGAGTCTTTAAAGATGTTACTCGGGTGTATGTCATGCAGTGTTTTGCCTACATTTTCTTCGATATATTTTATGGTTTCAGGTCTAATGTTGAATTTTTTATCCATTTTGAGTTGGTTTTTGTGCATGGTGTGAGGCAGTGGTCTAGCTTCATTTTGTGCATGTAGCAGTCCAGTTTTCCCAGCACCATTTATTGAATAAACTGTACTTGTCCCATTACATATACTTTGCTCCTTTGACAAAGACTAGTTGTCCACAAATATGTGGGTTTATTTCTGTGTTTTCTATTCAATGCCATTGGCCTCTGTGTATCTGTTTTTGTTCCAGTAACATACTGTTGTAATTATTATGGCTTTGTAGTATAGTTTGAAATCTGGGAGTGTGATATCTCCATTTTCCTTCTTTTTAGTCAGGAGAACTTTGGCTATTTGTGGAAACCTTGATACTGTTTCCATCAAAACTGAACCAGTCTACATTCCCCAAAACAACATAGGACTGTTCCCTATTCTCCATGTCCTCGCCAGCACTTGTTAATATCTGATCTTTCTGATATAGGCCATTCTGACAGACATGAAGTGATTTATCATTGTGTTTTAAATCAGGGTATTGTGAATGAATCAAGAAGGTGTGGTACATATATACAGTGGAATAGCACTCAATGATCAAAAACATAACTCTTACCATTTGGGAAATATGGACGGGATAGGAAGGGATTATACTAAACTTGATAAGTCAGAAGGAAAAAAATAAATATCAGATGGTTTCCCTTATATGTGGGATACACAGGAACCAAACAGAGTCAGAATAAAGACAGCACTTGTAACCTGATCCTAGATCTGAGGCATACAGCAGGGGAAAGGGAAAGAGATGGTTCCAAACAGGGGAGGGAAGAGCACAAGGGACTGTAGTGATGGACCATGGGTGCTATGGTAGTGAAAGAGCTAAATATATAGAATATATATATTGACTACACCTGAGAAAAAAATCAAATATTATACAAAAGTTAACAATGATGTAAAAAATAAATAGATTTAATTAAAAAATATATCAATAACTGACAACTAGAAAATAAAATTAAATAAACCAGAGGATCCTGAAGTTACAAAATGGAGGTGAGAGAACTCCTAAAACATTCAGTCCCTCTCTCACTCTGTGAAGGAAAATAATATTGAAGAAATTCAGGTGAATCACCTTAAGTGATAACATTCTCAATAGTCCACTGCATCCTCAGAAAGTCCCACTCACAGATGCCTCTGGTGTGTTCCAGGGGATGAGCGACATCCCAGAGTCCTGGGGACTGTTGTTGCCTGAGGAAGCACAGAAGAGACCTGGTCAGAGCCCAGAGATGAGACCCTCAGAGGAACTGATGAGAGTGACTCTCCCTAGAGTTCCCTCTACATTGTCCTCAGGGGCTTAGGGATCCAACCCCTGTTCCACACTTACCTGCACCCTGAGTGTAGCTTCCTTCTTATCCCCCTGTGGGAAGAAACATCATGTGAGACAAGGGAGGAGTCAGCCCATGGAGTTCTAAAGGAATCCCCAAGTCTGGGTCACAGGGAAGATTCTAGAACTGTGACTAAAGACCCAGGTCAGGACTGGGATATATGAAGAATGGATATGAAAGGGAATTGAAGACTTTCCTCAGTGGGGTCCTTCCCTATGACATTTACTGGGAAGCAGATCCCTACCACCACAGTTATAGGGTGAACAATTGGTGATTTATGTTCATAAGCGCTTTACAAAAGAGTGAGTGTTAGCAATCAGCTTCAGACTGGGCAACACATGTGTGTGGATGGTACTTCCTACTAGGCAGGTAGGGCAAGTTCTCCCTGGGACATGAAAGCCCCCAGTGGACAAGATCCCCCACTCCTTTCCCTACCTGAATGCTTCTTCCTCCACATCACAGTTGTAGCCACCGCAGCTCCAGGGAGCACAGCTCCAAGGAGAACCAGGGCAGCAATGAGGCCTACAGTGGGGATGGTGGACTGAGGAGGGGGCACTGGAAGGGAAAGGAAGGTGAGACCCTGAGCCCCAGGCCTCATCCTGACCCTCTGAAAGGCTCCAGATTACTCTGAGCAGAAGCTCAGTGCCCACGTCCCCTTTCTTACCCCATCTCAGGAATCGGGGCTCCAGCAGTCCCTCATGCTGCACATGGCACATGTACATGTATCTCTGCTTCTTTCCAGGAGGCACCACCACAGCTGCCTACTTCTGGAAGATTCCATCACCCTCCAGCCTGGTGTCTACCAGCTCCGTGTCCTGGGTCAGGTTCTTCCCATCTCGCTGCCAGATCAGGGCGATGTCAGCAGGGTAAAAGCCCCCCGGCATCTCTGACCTGTACCCCAGCTCTTGTATGCATAAATAAAAATCTTTAAAATAAAATAAAATATAAAAAAATAAAAATAAATAAAATTAATATGTGTGACCAAAGTTTTAAAATGAGAATAAAAAAATCTGTGTCTATCACTGTCTTATGCCTCCAGAGGGTTAATTATAATGGTGTCTATATAAATTCTAATGAAAAAAAAATTTTGAGATCACAATCTAAAATTTTGGTAATCAAAAACTAGTTCAAAACTTAATGGTTGAGGGCCTCCCCTAGTGGCACAGGCAATTTAGTGCAACACTGTCAAGCTGTCCGCAGACTCTGCCCAGCCTGTTCCATCCTGGCCGGCCGGCGAGAGTCCCACATGGTGCGGCAGACCTCTCCTGTCTCACCTGCTGCTCCCCTCAGCAGTGTATTTCGTCAGTCTGCCTGTTCTGTTCCCAACTCTGTCTCTGGTGAATCCTCTCACCCTCCCACGCACCTGGCCTGTACTCTGGTTCTTGTATAAATAAATAAATAAATCTTAAAAAAAAAAAAAAAAAACCTTAATGGTTGAATTTGAAGCACACATGCCTTACGGTTGTAATGTTGGGTAGCAATATGTTTAAATGTCTTTATTTTAAAAAGGAAGTGCACAGTATTCAGAAAAAAAAGCATAATTTATCTAGTCTACATCAAAAAAGATAAGTTTGCATTTTGATAATTGTAACTAAACTTCTCTTGATAAAATTCTTTTCCAGGAAAAGCCCCAGTTGACTTCTTTCTTTACTCTTGTCTTAGCAATAATTTCAAGAGGATGCCTATGGCCTCACGGGCAAGTTACTTAGCAGTACTGAGTTCCTCACATGTATGTAGGAAATGTATATGATATTAAGTCTCTCTGGTTGTTCCTGTTTTTCATCAGTCTATCTAGTGCTTGCCTAAGAAAGAAACTTGGTTATAGATTATTATAATTATCAATTCTGGAATTAATTTAAAATTCCAATCCCAAGAAAAAACTAACAGCTACAATTGGTATCTCTCTCTTAAATTTGTTTTTTATCATAATTATATGGTGGCCAAATTTCATATAAAACTAAGGTTTTACTAAGTTTAACAATGAGAATGTGTTAAATAATTACAATCACTTTTGCTAAAATCATTGAGCTTGCAGGTTTATTTTTGCTTCTTATTATAAGCAAATTAAAATTTAATGTCATCTCACCTAAAAAAAATTAAACCAATTAAAACATCCAGTACAAAGGAATGATAGCATAACAGCTCTTAGAATGTCTTACAATCTAAATAAACCCACAGATTTATGGTCAACTAATCTTTGACAAAGGAGCAAAGAATATGCACTGGAGCAAAGAAAGTTTGCTCAATACATGGTGCTTGGAAAACTGGGTTGCTACATGCAAAAGAATGAAGCTTGACCACTACCTCACACCATGCACAAAAACCAACTCAAGGTGGATTAAAGAACTAGACATAAGACATGAAACCATAAAATATATAGAAAGAAATACAGGCAAAACACTACATGGCATGCACCTCAAAGACATCTTTACAGACACATCACCCAAAGCAGTGATAGTGAAGGCAAAGATAAACAGCTGGGACTACATCAAATTAAAGAGCTTCTGCATAGCAAAAGAGACAATAACAAAACAAAGAGAAACCCCACCGACTGGAAGAACTGTTGTGTTTTTGCACACAACACTAATGATAAAGGACTGATCACAAAAACCTACAAAGAGCTGATGAGATTCAACAAAAACAAAGAAAATAATCCAGTCAAAAAATGGGAAGAAGAGCTAAAAAGAAACTTCTCCGAAGAGGAAATACAAATGGCCAACAGGCATATGAGAAAATGTTCAACATCACTTGTAATCAGGGAAATGCAAATCAAAAGTACAATGAGATACCTTCTCACACCAGTGAGAATGGCACATGTTAAAAAAAACTAGCAACAACAAATGTTGGCGAGGATGTGGAGAAAAAGGAACTCTCCTGCACGGCTGGTGGGAGTGCAAACTGGTCCAACCATTATGGAGAGCTGTGTGGAGATTTCTCAACCTACTAAAGATAGCGCTCCCATATGATCCAGCAATTCCATTCCTAGGTATTTACCCAAAGGACACAGAAACATCAATTCCAAAGAACACCTGCACCCCTATGTTTATAGCAGCACTGTTTACAATAGCTAAGTTTTGGAAACAACCCAAATGCCCAAAAATAGATGACTGGATCAAGAAGATGTGGTACATATACACCATGGAATATTACTCAGCATTCAAAAAAGATAAACACATGCAATTTGCAGCAACATGGATGGATCGGGAAGGGATCATGCTCAGCGAAATAAGCCAGAAAGAAAAAGAAAAATACAAGATGGTCTCACTCATAGCAGGAATCTAGAAAACCTAAATAAGGGACCAGGAAAATGAATAACTATAAGAAAGTGAAAATCAAAATCAACAAAGAACTATGAACTAGAGACACATTATGGGGGGTGGTGGGTTGGGAAAGAAGGGCTTGGGGTCAAAATAAGGGGGTTGCAATTGTATGGGGAATATAAAAATAAAATTAAAAAATAAAATAAAATTTAGAATATCATCATCAAAAATAAAAGAATGTCTTACAATCAAAAAATTAAAAACTAGGATATCATAACTCTAAATGTAAATAAAGTATTTTTGTTAAGGAATTTATTTGAAATGGATATGGTGAAGGTATTAGGAAACATTGAATGTCAAAATAAAATGGCTATCTTTAAAAAGAAACGGTATAAAAATAGGAAGGCAAAAGAAAGTGTTGAAGGTTTGAGAGAGGTACCTGGAAAAAACGTTAGGTGCTTGAATGACTTTATAGAAATATTTAAGTTTATCATCAGTTATGTACTTATGTAAAACCAAACTTTAATTTCCTTTTCATTTACAGTAAACACTCAAGTATTCTTCAACTGCTCTCACTAGTTTATGATGACAAATTAAGGACTGTTTATGTAATCTAAAATCTTGGTGCTTTTTTACCCTCGGGCTACAGGAGAAAAATTCTTTTCCTATCAGCATTGCTGACCCTCATCAAAGAAATAGCTCTGTTCTTAAAAATCCTGATCACTCCGAGTAATTAATTATTTTATAAAAATCTGTAAGTTTTTTAATCCAGCTGTTACAGGGCACCCCAATATGAAATGGGTTGCCTGACTGTGGGTCCTCACCTGTGTGCTTAAAAGGGACTTATTATTACACAACTGCAGGCACACACAAAGGTTAATAAAGGGTTTATTTACAAAAGAAGGGGAAATGAAGAAATGAATAACTCAGGGAGAAAAAGAGGGAGATAAATTTGCGAAAGCATCCCACCAGTTCTACTGACCTATAATTGTTAGGGGAAAAGGATTTCCTGTGCAAATTCCATACAGGCTTTGTGGACTCCACCCCCACTCCAGACCAAAGCCATCAAGATACTGAAAATGACAAATCCCATCATCACCAAAGGGAGGGTTGCTGGGACCTGAGGGCGGAGTTAAGCAGCCAGGTTTGTTATAAAACCAGACACGTGGGCCTTGGGGCTCTTGCTCTTGGCATCACGGCTCTTGGCTCTCCACCAGCTCTCAGAGTGCCATTGGGATTCCAGGTCAGCAGAACAGGTAGGACCCATTCATGAGTTTATCTGCCTCTTTTTCTCCCTGAATGATTAATTTCTTCATTTTCTCTTTATTTTTTAAATAGACCTTTTATTAACCTTCTGTGTGCCTGCAATTGAGTATTAATAAGTCCCCTTTAAGCCGACAGGTGAGGACCCACAGTCAGGCAACCCGTTTTAGAGTGGGGTTGCCCTGTAACAGAATCCCAATGGCACACTAAGAGCTGGCCAAGAGCCAAGAGCCCTGAGGTAAAAGGGCGAACTAAGGCTTACTACATGTCTGGGTTTATACCAAACCTGGCTGCTTAACTCCACCCACAGGTCCCAGCAACCCTCCCTTTGGTGATGATGGGATTTGTCTTTCCCAGTGTCTTGATGGCTTTGGTCTGGAGTGGGGGTGGAGTCCACAAAACCTGTATGGTATTTGTTCAAGACATCCTTACCCCCTAACACTATGACAACTTCCTTGATACCAAAAATTATAAAATATTAAAGTCTTTGTCCTAAAAGGACTCTTAATACAACGGATAAAAGTGTTTTCCTTGTAAAAACAAATTGGGACAATCTGGATATATTGAAAAAAATACATAACACATTAAATTTCAGTCTTCCTTCCTATCCCTCTATGGGGACAGGACATGGTAACCAAATTCCAAACTAACAGCCCATTGGCTCTTCTAGCCACTTCTACAAAAGGTAGAAATAATACAGAAGCCCGAGGTCTCAAATGTAATGATATTTAACAAATAGACCTTACATTCATGTCTCTAAAGACATCTATTCTGCATAAATTCAAGCCTGGGCCCAAACAGGGTGAACTGTTACACATGTTCAAAAAACCCCTTTTATCTGGTATTGCAGTGATGGAATCCCATCACAAATAAAAACTGGTAATGGACCTCCCCGGTGGCGCAGCGGTTGAGCGCTGAGTTGTGAAGCTGCCCGCAGCCTCTGCAGTGCTGGTCCGATTCCCGGGCTGCTCCCCGGCCACTGGAGGAGGGTCCCACATGGCGCGCAGACCTCTCCTGCCGCCCGCTGCTCCCCTCAGCAGTGTACTTCGGTCCTTCTGCCTGCTCTGCTCCCCGCTCTGGCTCTGGTGAATTCTCTCACCCTCCCGCGCTTCTGACTGTACCCAGTGCATGTATAAACAAACAAACAAACAAACAAATAAATAAAAATACATGCCTCTTTAAAAAAAAATATATTAAAAAAAAACACAAAAAACAACTGGTAATGGACCTGCTTACATCTCCAAAGCCTTTAACTCTTTCCTGCTAGTTTGGAATATTCAACACGTGCCTGGCGTCCCTTGTAGCCCTACAGGACA